AGGATGACAACTCATTTTTCTCACATAGGGAAGATTAAAGCCCAAAGCACTGCTTTGAAAATAATGATAGTAATCATTTCCTGACCAAGCACTATGAACCAGACATTTCATGATCTCTCATCCTCACACTAATCTTGACATAGATATTATCTTCATCTTAGAGATGAGCAAACTGAGGCTCAGGGAAGTTCAGTGACTTTCGAGAAGTCACACTGGTGGTGAATGGGCACTGAGTTCCAATCTGTCTCTAAAATCCAAGTACTTTCTACAAAACCAAGAAGTGACAACTACTTGCTGAGAGCAAAAAGCAACCCTCTCTAACCGCTCTGCTGCTACTAACGTATTACTGGTTGGGAAGCCACGTAATTCATGTTGTGAGTTATGTACGATTCTAAGTAAGGGTGGGGGACTTCATGCAGAGGCTTCAGGATAGCTGGTCCCTTATTTTAGGGGTGAGTTTAGGAGTTTGCAGCAAGAACTCACTGCTAGAGTAGAATCATATCATTGTACAATCCCAAGTATAATGGCTGTTCAGTGAGTGCCTGACGTGAACCCTAGTTACGATAAGCAAGACTGCTTACTGAGCTCCACCCCACTGGAGAGTGGATGACAACGGGACACTCAGTCTGCCCCTCAAGTCCCCCAGCTCTACTGTATGCTAGCCTGGTGGTAGCCTCTCTTAATTTCCTAATTCACAAAATTGGGCTGATATCTACACTTCACAAAATTGTGAGGAATAAATGATAAAGTATACAGAAACACCAGGCATGGAACAGGTGTACAATAAATATGACTTTAGTCATATTTATTCATTATTCATAGGATGAGTTTGGTTGACCAGTCTGGGACTATGGGTCATTTTGGCCCAAAGAATTCCAGGGAGATGCAGTCAGTTCCAGGTCTAAATCAGAGTGTGTGTTCGTGCGTCAGAGAACAGCCTACATGGATCCTTAGTGGAACCGTGGAACCAATCCCATCGCCATGGTTTAACGAGGACCATGGCTCAGGCAAGAGCCAGAGGATTTCCAAGCATGAGATGAACCAGCAAAAGGCTAATCATTCCACATTTGAAGTCACTCCCAATTCTCTCCTGTCCTGAGTTTCCAAGGGGATCAAAAGAATCATTTGCCTAAAACTGAACTAAATCGAACCTCAAACTTGTTCATCTTGAGATAGAACAAGCTTTTCCTCAGCTTGTTCTGTCTCAAGGTGCCGGTGCAATTTGGCCTTTATGACCTATTTCATACTGGTGATTCTCTCTTCAGGCTACAAATGGCGATTTTTCTAATGTACGAATGTGAGATGTTAAACTTCTTCAATGGCTTCCTACTGCCCGTAGAGTGAAGTCCAAACTACTTAGCAAAGACTTCTGTGATCTGGCCCCTACCTACTTATTTGTCTCATAACCCACTATTCCATCTGTCACTAAACCACTTATAGCTCCCTAAACACTCTGTGCTTTCTCACGTGTCTATGTCTTTTATGTAGTATGTCCTGTTCCTTTTGCCTGGGGTGCCCTTCACTTTCCCATTTGGCAAACATCTATTCTCAGTTTAAGCACTTCATCCTCTGTGAATCCTTAATCCCTGAGGTAGTCACAGACAACCCTTCCCTGGGCTTACCCTTAGGCAGGGAAGGAAGGACATGGTACAGTGGAAAGAATATAGGTTTCAAGTCAGAAAGCCTGGAGTTTAAACTCTGGCCCTCCTCCCAGGCCAGCTGGAACACCAACCAGAGGGAAAGACATAGTCTTCTAGCCTAATGTATAGTCCACTGGTGTGGTTTTCCTTATGTAAAGACAGATGCGGGGGCTTGTAACCAAAAGATTCAGTGACCTGAACCACTGGTGAGATCATCCCTATCTGGGATTGACAATTCCAAAGGTGTAATTCAGTTAACTCCTTTTGTTCCAACCTCCATGTTTGCTCACACACCCATGTGACAGGAAGTCAGCTTCCTATACAGGTTTGCTCACACACCCATGTGACAGGAAGTCAGCTTCCTATACAGGTTTGCTAATCACAACCACTTGAGTATTCCAGTTCCTCCAATTTTTTTGTTACAAATTAATTATTAAAAATAAATGCATCTCACCTTTGCCACTTACTGGCCAAATCATTTAAACTCTGAGCCTCTTTTATCTTCATTTGTAGATGAAAAGTGTGAGGATTAGAGAAAATGGATTGAGCACAAATTTTGGCCCATGGTAAGCACTAATATTATTGTATCATTATAGCACATTTAAATTATTTATCTATGTCTCTCCCTCCACTAGATAGTAAATCCCTCAAGGGCAAGAAATCCATCTTTATATCCCCCAGCATCTAGCACAACAGTGCTGGGCACATAGAAACTTTTGGCAAAAGTCTGTGAGATGCATAACACGCACACATTTTGCCTTTCCAATGACTGTCAGTTCCAGGAAGGCAGAGAACTTGTCGTGTGCTTTTCTTTTATCTTTCATAGCAGCCACCATGGTTGTGGAGCAAATCAGTAAGCAGTCATTCAAGGCAAACTCATGAGTAGACCAACACATTCTCCTTCTTAGCAGTTACTCTACAGTGGAAAAGTTATACGTTGTGAAGTCTGAAGACCTTGGTTCTAGCCCTGGTCCACTCCCTTAATGTGAGGTGTTAGGCATACTCGTTAAATGACCTACGCTTGTTTTCTGCAAAACAGGGGAGAGAAAAACCTTGAGGGCTATCACAAGGATGAAATAGGGTGAAGTAAAGCACCATGTAAAGGTGGAATATAACTAAGAGGGACAAGGGAAACACTCCTATCAGGCTTTATGGTTTTCAGGAGAATGGTTCTGCTTCCTGTACATCCCATTCCAGGAGAGAATAAAAAAGCACAATACCATGATTATGCTATATTTATGTAATTTTCACATATCTTTTAGGAAAACCTGGTTTTGAGAAGACTCCCTTGGCCTAATTCAGAGCAAACAGTGGCTAACAAGTGTCCTGAGGCCGCTTTACTACCTGCATGGCTTAAATAGGGCAAAAAATGCCAAATTTCTTTTTGATTTTCTTACAAAGGTTAAGTCAAAGGCAAGGCCAAGAGTTGGAAAATCTTTTCCAAGGAAAAAGTGTTCTTGATTTAAACTAAAAGCAACCAAATGGATTACTTAGGGAACTATGCTCTGTTCAGAAGAGTTTCCTGATGATCTAAAATTAATTATAAAACTTTATTCTAGCCTCTCTTTACCTTCTTAACATTTATTAGTCTACTTATCTAACTTTGTAATTTAGTAAGTATGGTATACTGGACATAATTGACTCTTTGTTTACAGATTCAAGACCATGTGGCAGGGATGCTGTAGAGAGGACTCATGCAGCAGATGGGTGGCTGAGTTAGATAAACATTAAGATCACCTTCAAATCTGACAATCTGGGATCTGAACAACTTAGTTGTACTTTCACTTGTAAAAACGAACATGAATCATCATTGGGCGGTGTGGCAACGTGAACTAATATATAGCCAAGAGCAGTATAGCACAGTGGTTAAGACTGCAGGCACTAAAGCCAAATTGTCAAGATTGATATCCTGGCTCTGTCACTTGCTAACTCCGTGACCTTGAACAAGTTTCGTTATTTCTCTGCTTCAGTTTCCTCATGTGTAAAATGGAAATAAAAGTACCTGTCTCTTAGGGTTGCTATAAGGATTAAGAGTTAATATATCTGGGGGGAGGGGCAAAATAGGGATGGGGATTAAGACGTACAGACTACTAATATAAAACAAATAAGCTACAAGATATATTGTACAACACAGGGAATATAACCAATATTTTATAATTATAAGTGGAATATAACCTTTAAAAATTGTGAATTAGTATGTTGTACACCTAATATTGTACATCAACTATACCTCAATTAAAAAAAGAAGCTAGGGGCCTCCCTGGTGGCGCAGTGGTTAAGCATCCGCCTGCCAATGCAGGGAACACGGGTTCCAGCCCTGTTCCAGGAAGATCCCACATGCTGCGGAGCAACTAAGCCCGTGTGCCACAACTACTGAGCCTGTGTGTCACAACTACTGAAGCCTGTGCTTTGCAACGAGAAGCCACTGCAATGGGAAGCCCTCGGCAACTAGAGAAAGTCCGCACACAGCCACGGAAGACGCAACGCAGCCAATAAATAAATAAATAAAGTAAATCTATTAAAAAAAAAAAAGAAGCTAATACCCTTAACATTCTTGGAACAGTGTCTGGTACATAGTAGGTGCGCAAAAAAATATGAGTTATCCTGCTTTGTGTTAGCTTAATATATGTCAGAATACTAGGGACTGACTGCCCATGCAACATTTCATTAAAACCTGAAAACAACACTTTAAGGTAGATGGTATAGCTCATTCTAAAGATGAGGAAACAAGTTCTCGGAGGATAAGTGTCTTACCTAAGGTCAGTGCCTTAAACAGGGTTTGAATCCAGAGCCCTCTGCCTCCCAACTTGTGTTATTTCCATCACAGCACCCTGCTTCCCCAGTATGTCAAAATTGTTGAGTGTGTGCAAAACTGAGTTGAATTCATGCATGTAGATCCTGTAAACTGCCTTTTGGAATAACACTGGGTACCTGCTTGCTATCTTGTCAATACTCTCATTTTTAAGGTAGGGCAGAAATAACCCCATTAAGGATTCACTTTATCATGGTTTACTTATACAATGATTGTGTAAATGGTGATGTTCAAACAGCTAGATAAATATCCATTAAAGGGACTTCCCTGGTGGTCCAGTGGTTAAAACTCTGCACTCCAATGCAGGGGGCCTGGGTTCGAGCCCTGGTCAGGGAACTAGATCCCACGTGCCGCAACTAAAGGAGCCCGCATTCCACAACTAAAGAGCCCACATGCCACAACTAAAAGAGCCCGCATGCTGCAACTAAAGATCCCACGTGCCGCAACTAAGATTCAGTGCAGCCAAATAAACATTTTTTTAAAAATCCACTAAAATGGTGAACCTTCCTTAGCCTGTTTGTCTTAAATTCTTTGTTATTCTTTACACAGGACTATAAATTTTCCCCCATTATGATTATCCAGGTTCTCTTCTGAATTAAGTCCCTCTTACCACTCATCTAAGCATCATCTCAGTTGCTATCTAACGCTATTTAGTGTGCCTGTCCTCCACTCCATAATGATAGCCTCTGAGCTCTTGCAATCCCTCAAGTACCTTATCCAGGACTAAACATAACTAGTATTCAACAACTGTTTGACCCTCTGGATTTGAATGACCCAAAGTAGATGCTAAACAATGTGGTTTTTCCATTCTTCAAGAGCAGTTCAATAAACGACATAAAAACCTTGAGAAAGAAAGCCTTAAAAGACTGAAAAAAAAAGAAGTTATAGAAGGACTAGCTGTGAAGAACTTTGAATATTAAAAAAAAAAAGAGGGGGAGAAGCCAAAGTGAAGCCTCAAGAAACAAGGAGTCTGGCAAAAGCAAATGAGAAAAAAGGGGAGAGGTGGCGGAGGAGCCACATGATATTTAGGGTTTGAAATGAGGGGGAATTCTAGAGTTAAGGTGGGTTTGGATCAGAAGCCTTCCCAAGTTTCTCAGGCTAAAGAGCCTGGGTGGCAATCTGTGGGTGGCCCACACTTAAGAACACAAAAAAACTGGACACAGATACAAATGGTGAGAAGTGTCATGCAGCAGGGAGTGGCAAGAGTCCATCCTAAATGCAGTCATTTGGGTACAACGTGCCCTTCAGAGAGGGCATAGTGACAGCATGGGCTAATTTACAGAGCCGCCAGGGTAATAACTCAAAAAGCAATACTGCCTTCTCACAACAAAACGAGGCAGCCCCAGAATGTTTTGTGGTGGTAAAAAGCTGCATTACAGCATACTGAGATCCCGGAACCAATGAAAGGAGACAAGTTTACCAAAACGAGTCTTGACACAGAGTACGTTTCTGGCAAATACATTATTATGCACTCACTCTACTCAGGTCCTGGAGCAACTATTTCGTTTCCTTATATGGCCCTTCTCTTCAGCTCTCTCCTGTATAATAACTAATGTCTTCTTAGAGAAACAAAGAAAAGGAATAGAACTGTTCCACTCGTCCTCCTCCGTTTTTTTTCAGGGAAATGATTAGAGGCTCATATCATTGAGAGTGTCAGAGAAGAACTACCAGTTTTTGAAATCACTTTTAAAAAACTGAAATCATTTCTGCTAGAGAAAGCTGCTTTGATGGGGGGAGGCAAGGGAAAATACTGCAACTACCTACCCTGACTGCCAGAATTAAGCAGTCTTACTTTAACCAGAACATTTTTCTTTAATTCCATTAGAACTTTAATTTGAATACTACTAGAACTAAGATACGATGGGCAAGCATGGGTAGAAACACTCCCTATATGGCACACAAAGTCAAAGAAAATGCCAGCTGTCACGCTGAAATAAAAATCAACTTCTAATGTTACTCCTCTTCTTAAAATTCTTTGATTGGCCCTCATAGTCTTCAAATAAAATCCAAACTCCTTAGCAGGACCCCAACTTCACTTCCCAATATATTTCCCTCCCTATTCCCAAATTCTGATAGTCCATTTCTCCCCAAAAGTCACGTTCCTCTACCTGGAAAATCCTTTCCATTCCTCTTTGCTTGGTAAAATCCTACTCATCCTTCAGAAAAACTGCTTGGCTTTCTCTCCTTCAGGAAGATGTCCTCAACACCCCCCCTCCTATGAGCTCTCTGAGGACCCTGCGCTTATTTATCATTGCACTCACCATGTGATGCTATGATTTCACTTTACTTTCTTGTCCCTTCCACTAGTTCCTGAGGACAAGTGCCAAATTCTAGGATTCTACCTTCTAGTGCTCAGGACAGAAGCGTGACATATAGGAGATACACAATAAATGTTTTAATGAATAGTAAATATAGCCGTCTACGAATCTCACTTTCTCTCAATAAGAAAATATACTCTCTAAAACCTTTCATAAAATAAGGTAACTATCTTCCCTCTTTGACCACACTGACAGCCAGAATGAATATTTTGAAAGAGTGTAACATCTGGGTCATATCCTTGATAACATTTCAGGAAGCTCGTGGCTGACTGCATCATTTATGACATCAAGAAGGAAGCCATCATTTGCAGAGCACCTACGTGTGCCGAATTTATTCTGTATACACATTACTTCACTCTTGGTGGCCCATGGTAACTTGTTTGAGCTCTATTTTGATAAAGAATCTGAGGCTTAGAAATCTGCCCAAGGTCACAGAGCCAGCAAGTGGTGAAGCCAGACTAACACAATGTGCAAGATCAGGACTAGATTTTCTTCTAAAGGAACTAAAAAATGAGGTTGGCTGAATCTAAGATTTCCCACAGGACTGAAAAAATGATGAAGACAGCAAATAACTTGTCCATCTCAGACTATGGGTATGCAGTTTTAACAATATAAACTGAAAACCAGCCTTGTTCCTCTTCAGAGTTTAAATAACTGCATACACTGTTGCCATCCTGTCAAGTAACAGATTCATCAGACAATCAGTTTGAAGCACTGTTTTAAAACAACTTCTCAAATTTATTTAACTCATGTGGATAACATGGTAGAGTTTCTTTTTTTTTTACAAAAAGGAAACAGCCAGCACTTACTACTCAATAAGCCTTGCAGACGGCTCAGAGTGTAGGCAGCATACTGGGCACAGTGACCACAGGATTTGCATTATGCTTGCAAAGACAGAACTCCGCGAGCACCAGAGTTTTCCAATTCAAAATGGGATTTAATTAGAGATCCCAGCATGATAATTTTTTTTTAAAAGGCTGGATTGTTCCTTTTTTTTTTCTTTAATTTTCCATTTCTATTTAGAAAAATGACTAGAGGCAATGGCGAAAATAACCATTTAAAAGGGATTCCTCTCCAGAAGTTTTTTGTAAAGTTAAATCCAGCCTTTCCACCCTTCTCTCCATCCTTTTACATTTTAAAAAGAAAGGAGTTTGGAATGTGTCAACCTTTACTCAGCTTGCTGCACAAAGCCTCAGCCTTCTCAAGTTGTAGACGTAATGCAATGCTGGGACTAATCTCCCAAACCTCTGGTTTTAATCAAGTCCATGGGGTGCCTGGCTGGAGGGCCCTGGGTGACAGTTGCTAAAGAAGCTCCTATTAATCTAAGGTCAGTCACAATCCTAACCTTAAACAGTAGACGGCTGACTGCATCACTTACGACATACACCAGGCGAAGGCAGAAGGAGCAAGAAGCAAGTCAGACGTCCCTCGTCTGTTAAGTCATGAGTCACTCCAGCAGCTGAGCCTGTGTTCCTTTCCCCAGAGCTCACTGTGCAAGGTCACCGCCACACCACCTCCATCCCCTGAGCTCACTGTCCAGCCATAAAGGAAGGTGCTTCCAAGTTATCACTGGAATAAATGATTTTCCATAAGTAACAAATGAAAATGTTTAGATCTACCAATGACTCAGTCTCTCTATCTCTTCTTGGGGAGCCTGTACTTCTAAGCATGTGAGGAAGTTAAAAATACAGAGGAGCAGCATCAATAGACAATGTGCTTTACGTCTTCCTCATTACCTTCCTGGAAAATTGCTGTTTCTAACATTCAGTTTCCTTGAAAAGGAGAAATTTTACTTAACTGTTGTACATTGCATGTAAGAAGGGACTTCTCTTTTTAGCCTTCATTTCACTGTATGGGTTTCCCTCTCTAGGTACTGAGAGTGCGAAAGGGAGAGACAGGAGGAGACAAAAATCACAAAGTGTAGTATAAAGCACAGCCTGTGTCAGCAACATGACAAGTCCTCTAATGTCATCAATGTTGACTCTAAGTAATTTCTGGTGGGGTTGAATACATCATTACATTTCTATTTGTGCTCTGCCTGAGGCTTTTCCCTAACCACTAATTGCGAATAAAGGGCTCGAGAGTAAGAGCTTTTGTGAAAGGGCTAGAACACAAGTAATGTGCTGGTCTGTGGCCAGGTGTCAGTGTACTTCATAATGGAGGAAAAGAGGATTACCGGGAGATTTTTGTTTCAGCCTTTAGTCCAACCAAGATTTAAAAGACTTACAGAAAATGCTTCACACAAAAGTGTGGTAGTGGGGAAGGGAGGATGGGGAAGTGGTAAACACATCCAGTAAAATTCAGGCATAAAAGAATACCCACACAAGTCCACAAAATACAAAAGAACAAGGAGGATCACTTCCTGAGCCATAAATGGATGGATAAGGGCACAGGGTAGGTAGGGCACAGTGGATTAGCCACTATCGGCTTCAGTGATAATTCTGAAACCTGTTCCAATTTATTTTTGGAATGAATTCTTCTCCTGAACAGGTCAAAATTGTGCTTAAAAAATGTTGGAAGATAACAGCTTTTGAAATATTCTTTTGCCTCTTGCTTCCAGGTGATTTCCTTTTTGTTGAAAACCAGAAGCTGTATAAACCTCACAGGATGGAAAAACAGTCTTTTGATAAAGATGAGGTGAGGTACTGGATGAACTTACACAGTAAGTGAGAGTCTGTATGTCTTGGTCTTGTCCCTTGACCACTCCACATCTCTGGACCTAACAGAGATGGCAGTTCACTTCCTCTGGAAGAAGCCAGTAATGGACACTTGTCTATTGGCTTTGCCCAGAGCAGCAGTTCCTTTCTTTGGGCCCTTTCGTTCCTCTTTGGGTTCCTTTTTCAGAGTCATGGTGGGGGGCCTATGTACAGAGGAAGTCTTCATCTTAAGCTCTTCTTCACTATCTGTGCAGGATTCACTCTCGTAGACCTTTTCAGTTACTGGAACAATAAAGAAAAAAATGGGATATGAGTGGGTTGAGTCATTTAGAACACAGCTCTCGAGAGAGAATGAGATGTCTGGTTCACTCCAATCCCCTCAGACCCACTGACCAAGGGAGGTGTGCTCACTGACCATCGCAGCTCAATCCCGCTGGGAGATCAGAACCCGCCTCAGGGAGGAAGCGGTATTTTGAGCTCACACAGCCTCTAGCTGGGGCTCAAAATCAACATTCACCCTTACTCCGTCACTGCTATGCCCCATGCCTTTAAGTGGGCCCTTATCATGTGGTTGCCCAAATCCTGCATTTGGGCCTTGGTCTATGCTTAGCTAACTTGTTGAGCTCTTCATCAGAACTGTCTGCATCTCAAACACCTACTTCTACCTCCATGCTTTGACTGACTTCTTCAGTCTCACCTCCCTGACCCACAGTGCCTGCCATTTCCATCACTGGTTTTCCTGGTCTTAAGCTCTGCTCTACCAGCCAGTCCCCATCCTACCTAGCCAGACTCATTGCCATGGACCCTCCTGGCTAGTCCTATCCTGATGTCACCCACTATGAACTGGAGATTAGCTACTCAACTATTCAGTCCTTGGTTCTCAGTGACCCAGGATTTAGTAATGGTCTATATCATGAAGAATGACTATCTCAAGCAAACTTGGTCAGATGACAAACTTGATAGTTTTAAGGAAGGACAACGATAAAATGAGAAAAAGTTCCCAGTGTTTTTACTCCCTGTCAGCCAAGGGTGTATTGCGTCTTTTCTCCTACCAATAAAATTCACTGATCCCTCCCCACTGGAAACTTTAAAAAAAAATTATACCAGTGAGGAGTCACTATAAGGAACCCCCAAAGGGCACAGGCACAGACAATCGCTTCCAAAAATGATGTCCCAGAACTGATGAGGGTCTCTTCAATACTACTGCAGTGCACACACCAACTGCAAGAAACAGTACAATGCCACCCTCCTGTGACTTTAGAGAGATGCAGCAGCTGTACAGTCAACGTCATCTAAATCCTTTCTCAGCAAATGATGGAAAAAGGAAAACACCTTTTCTTAGCTGAATAGAGTAACCTAATATGCATAATATTCAAATGAGTAAAGTGAAAGGTATTTTTTCCCATTAACATACAATGATAGTTTTAAGCTCTCGATTATTGATCATTTCTTTCTAATAAAACATATCCGCCGAACTGTTCCAGAGGCATAGGCTTTGGAATCAAATACACCTGTGTTCTAATACCTAGTCTGTCACTTACATAGTCTCTAATTTTAATGTGTATCAGAATTACCTGAAGGCTCATTTAAACACGTATGGCTGGGCTTTATTTCCAGAGTTTTAGATTCAATAGGTCTGGGGTGGATCCAAGAATTTGCTTTTCTAACATGTTCCCAGGTGATGCTGATATGCTGCTGGTCTGGGGACCACACCTTGAGAATCACCATTCTTTGCTCCCCTGTAAAAGGTGATATGCTGCCCTACGAAATGTACAAATACACCCAGTAATCTTTGGCAAGCACTCTTCAGTGCTATATTTTCCTCTTGCAATGGGCCACGCTGGAGGTCAACTGGCTATAACCAGTGGAGTACTCCTTCACCTTATTCATCTATTCTTATTAAGGTTGCATAATCAACAGTCCCCTCCCTAAGAGTTCCTAGGATTTGTCATTACTTTCAACAGCCTAGAAGTCACTTTGGCTGACCCCTGTCAACTAAGAGGCTAAAAAAACACTAGTAAGCTTTAAATATACACTAAGCGTTCTTGAAGATCTTAAGGCTCCACAGACCAGAGGCATTAGAATCTCCCATGAGCTTATTAGAAACACAGAATCTCAAGTCCTAACCCAGGCCTACTGAATCAGAATTTGAATTTTGTCAAGATCTTCAAGTAATGCATCTACTCAACAAAGTTTAAGAAATGTTGCTCTAAGATACTTCAGGAATTTCCATGGTATACCTGTTAGTTCAACAATTATGATCCCAGAACATCATCTCCATCCTGATGCAACTTCAAAAGCATTATATAACTGGATTTTAGAACAAAATTATGAGCTGTTATTTACTCAATATCTCAAATTAGGGAATTCTAAAGAGCCACCTACAGATATAGAAAAGACAAGACTTGCTCCTCCATAAGCTATATTATGTATTCAAATGGTGGCACGTCTGTAATATTAAACTTCAGCATCAATTAGCTCATTATTTCATGACTAACCACTGGTTGTCTCATTGCCGATTCTGTGCAATGCACTGCTTGAGGGAGTTAAAAACCAGTCAGGGCAGCACCAACAGAATTTCTTAAGCAGAACACTTTGTATATACCTTAAGGGCTAAAAGGAGCATTTCTATATTCAAAGCTGTGGCTACTTCAAACTACAGAACAAAGGAGATTTCAACTTAAAAATACAGAACCTTTATTTTAGCTGAACAACACGCCACTTTTCTGGGCTGCCATAAAAACAGGCCCAGTTTGCATGGGTATAAGAATTCTTTTCCACTCAACTGTTTTGCTCTTAGAAATCCACCCTGTCCAGAAGTCCACCCCAAATTTATCTCAGGGGCCCAACTCCCCAGTCCCTGTAGTAAACTCACAGAAAGGGAAAGATCAGCTTTTTAAGCCCACAGACCAACTCCCATCCAGCACAGGACAGGAGAAGCCCCCTGTGCTGGTACATTTGGAACAGTCTGAGCAGAGAGAGGAAAGCAGAACTCCTTTATTGGTTACAGGAGCCAAGATTCATTAGGTTGACCTTGGACTAAAAACCTTAAAAAAAAATGTGCTATGCGAGCACAGTTTTCATTGTTGCATCCAAGGCTCTTAATAGTCCTGTCTGGAGACAGGAGTACAAAAAAGTTCACATCCCATACCTGGCCAAAATTTGAGTACTATGTTTTGAACAAAGCAATAGGTAATTAACCCCAAATTCCCAATGAACTCCCATAAAGATATTTTTGACACTTTTCTTTTGGGGTAGCAGGAGGGAAAAACTGGCACTGATGCTTTTGTCCTCTTAAGTTTAAAAGAAAAAAGAATAAAAAATTCAACAGTAAATATGTAAATTACCATTAACAGTCAAACCAAGAGGCTTGAAATTCATTACTAGAAGACTAAAAGCAAAAAACAAACAAAACAAAAAAAGACCAAAATCCAGAATTCATAGGCACAAGAAAGTATTCACTGAAAAGACAGAAATTTCCTGTGTAAGGAATTTTATTCCCAATCACATGCTACAATTAAAATGGCAGAGGCCTTTTCAGATGAGTGGGAGGTGGGGAATTGGAGAGGGCTCGAGACTGATGAAAGGTCTTCACTAGTTTTAACAACCACATTGCCTAGGGAAAGTTGATTCTTCAGAGTCTATCAATCCTTTTAAGACAAAAATTTGAACCAGAAAAGGAAAATCAAGAAAGGGAAAAAATGCTTCTCTAGGAGAGCCAGCGTGTGGCAGGTGCCACAGGAAAGGAGAAATGACAATTCTCGGCTATCTCACTAACAAGCGGTTGAAGAGCCTAAACCCACAACTTTTTACAAACACAAAAGACAGTACCAGGATCTGAACATCTCATCGGGCCTCAAGTGCTAAATCTTAAAAGCCCCACAGAAGTCGGCCAATCGTGGTAGAACAAGCTAAAACATGGCTGAAGAATCAAGCAATGACTTGAGGCCTGAATTCTAATTTCCCTCTAGGCCTCCATAAAAAGCACATGCTTTTACCTAACATGGCTTACAAGCAGGAAACATAAAGGAAGTGATTTGGAAGAGTCAGACCCCTCTAAAGAACAAATGGGACAAAACACAAAGAAGACTCTTGACACTCTCTTCAGAGTCTAGTCTTCTATAGGAGCTTCTTTTCCACTGTTCAAATGTATAAAACAAACATTCAAAAAAAACCCAAATGTTTCTCAATGTCTATGATTTAAAATTGGTATTGTGGTTTCCATCTTGAAAGTGTTTTTTAAATATATTACTTCACATGAATCTTCACAACAATCCCACATGTAGGCAAAATGGTATTTTCCCTCCACTCCACAGATCAAGAAACTCCCCACCAGAGATGATGTGACCTTTATGCAAGATCTCAAGCATATTACCCAAACAGAAACCCAGGTATTCTGACTTTAGTTGTAGTGTTCCCTATATTCCACTACTCAAAGTGTGGGCCACAGGAAAGCAGCCCAGCACCACCTGGGAATGAATCATGTGTATATTAAAGTCTGAGGCACCCTGCTCTGTAAGGGATTAAGGTGCTCTCCATGGTAATAACTCTATCTCTGGATTTGGAGTCAAAAAATTTTCTTACCTATGCAGCCCTCCTCGTCCACAAAGGCTTTAGATTTTAGCACACGTTTTCGTTTTCTTTTGTTTTCTCCACTTGAGCCCTAAAAGATCATAGGAAGATCAGAGGATACAACATTAAATTGACCAATCAAGCTACAGAGGAAAATAACAAAAGTTTTTTACTCTATAACAATCACCCTCCAATATTCTATGACGATAAAAAGTTAAACAAGTTATCTACAAATTTCCCTTTAGGGGATCAGCCCAACCACAGACAAGTTACGCTCATTGATACTTCATTGTGAGAAGAAAAGTAGCATGTTGCGCAAAGAACTGTGTTCATTCAGTCAACAAACTTTTGTTGGGTAGTGCAGGCGTCAAGGTTAAAAAGACCAATAGGACAAGGGCCTTAGTGGAGGACAGAGACAAAGAAAACAGACCATTGCAATCCACTGTGGTAAGGGCTTTAATGGAAGGCCACAACAGATACTATGGAAGCACTCAGGGAAGGCCTCTAAACCAGACCAGAGGTCTCCACGGCATCCACCCTTGCTGTGGATACCTGCTAGTTCAATCTTGACACTGCAACATTACAACTGTCTAATTTAGTATCAAAAGGTATTACTTATACCAACTTCCTTTTCTTTCCACTGGTCTTCCACCCCATTTTCTCTTCAGCTAATGAGGAAATCAGTGCAAAATTTAAATGAGTCTTAACACAATGAATTAAGGAAAACTAATATTCATAAAGGAAAAAACCACCCATCTTCTCAGTCCTTCATTATCTACACTAACAGAAGCAGACAAGAGCCAGATGAAGATCATTGAAAACTGTATTTCCCCATTTGCAGCCCTTTTCTGGAAGAGCAACAAATCTGCATAAATTGTTTGTTCTACTCTGTCTTTCACACACTCTGCTGCAAGACTTCACTTTGCACAATGCCAACAGGAGTTGGGTGGCACAGCTGCCCTAAAGCTGAAGGGAATGAAAAACAAAAGAGCTCCCAGGATTGACTTTGGCCACATTCCTGAGACGACACCTTATGGCCGAACTCCCTCTTCAGGTGAGAAGAGAGGGAATGCCTATTCTGCACTACCTATAGGAGAGCAGGACGAGACAGGAGCCGGTTACTGACATCTGTGAAGTGTACAGCAGCGAACTAACGTAGCAGAGTAGTTTTATCCTTGGGCGATAAAGGGCACATCCCAGTAAAGTTGTACCTTGACAGAAGGAGGCTCTGGCTCAGTCTTCGGCACTGGTTCAGGAGATGAAGAAGCAGGAGGAGGTGGGGATGGTGACTCAGCTTCATGAGCCCCAGGAGAGTCTGGTATGACTGAAATAAGGAAACAAGCTTAGATAAGAGAACTACAGCAGTGTCTGGTACAATGCCTTCTCCACTGGCTCTCTAAACTTCCATGTCCAACAAAGGGTATTTTGCAAGCAGTAATTCAAGACAACCAAGGACTCTGCAATTATATAACTATAAATATCTTTAAAATACATATTTTATTAATTTTCATACAAAGAGAATCAAAGAATCAAGAATTATTAGAGCTGGAATATAACTTAGAGATCATCTTAGCTAAGCTTCTACTTTTATAGATAAGTCAAAGTATGAAGTTGTTTTATAAATATCCACTGATCAAAAAATATATATATCCACTGATCATCTACCATGTGTCATGTATTTCACTTACATTATTTTACTTTATCCTCACAACAAACCTAAGAGACTAATACTATTATTCATACATTAGAGTTGAGTAAACAGAGGTTCAGAGAGGTTAGTTAACTTGTCAGGGGCACAGAGCTTGGAACTGAGGCAGGAAGTTTTAGACCCCAGTCAGTCTGATTCCATAGCCTTACTATTCCAACTATCCCACGCTACCTTACCACTCAGGGCCAGACATTTTCTCTTAAGATCAAGTAAGTGGAGATAATCCTCAGATTATACCAAATGTGAGTACCTTTCATCTGAAGAGCTACAAATCCATTACAAATATATTTAAAATACACTGACGCATCCACATTTCTTATGCTTATGTCACTAAAATTATATTGAGGCAGAATGCTTGACTAAGGCAGACAGACATGGATTCTAGCATATGAATGTGGGCAAGTTGTAAAATAAATCTCTTTGAACTTCAGTTGTATAAAACAGAAATAATAGTTAACAGTGATTTTGTGACTGTGGTCTGAGGATTATTTGCCATCACTTGAGATGTATGTTAGACTGAAATTTTCCAGCTGATATTAAGAGCATAAACTGGGGGGTGGGGAAATCATCTTTGACACAATGATCACAATTACAGCTCTAACAACTAGGACTTGTTTGTTAATATGTGTTTGGGAACTACTTTTCACTTGCCTCACTGATGAGGCTTATGTTGCTACACTGAGATTAGCAGGAAAGAACATTTTAAGGAGAGAAATATTGCTATGGAAGTGGTACCACCTGAAATGACAGTACCACCAGAGGGAGCCCATCATTTCTGAATAGTTCCAGAAATAGTATAAGGCCCATAAGAGAGGAAGTGAAAATCCTCAGCTGACCTATTGCTTAATTACCACAAAGAAATTGCTGGTCAAGGGACTGGGAAAGCTGCTTAGCCTCACCTGCTCCCTGAATCTCCTGGCTGTATTCAAATTCTTAGCACAAGTCTTGGATCTGAAATTCTCCCAACCGATTAGGTCAGTGTTAAAAATTATGACAGTGGAGGGTTCAAGGCCAAATGACCTAAAGAGGTGAAGCAGAACAACAGCCAGAAAGAAACAATAAATTATACACTTCAAGTATGAAATGGGCCCCAAAACTTTATAAGCTCTAGGAAATAAAAACATAAAAGGAAAGTGGTCCAGCTATTAACCAGCTCTGGGAGGCTAGAACATGATGGGAGCTCAAGGAAGCAAAAGTCCAGTCAAACCACAGAACCAAGCACACGTTTTTCTGAAGGTATAGCTATTAAGAAAGCTGTGTCACAATGTGTTACAGTGGTGGGAGTGAAGTTTATGTGGTGAGGATGCCAAAAAAAAGGAATTTTGAGTACTCTCAGTAATAAGTTTAAGAGTTCTTACTCTATTTCCAGTTCTGTAACAAGTTGACTTAACCAAGGAAAACACAATCCCAGTGGCACCCTCTAAGACCCCTCTCACTGCACTGTATGGACTGTTTATCTACACTTCACCTTCAGACTCTAAGCTCCACACAGGCAGAGGCACCATGATTTCCCTAGCACTGAATATACAGTAATAATTTCTTTTAAATAAAGGAAAAGAATCATTTTCTGAACTAAATTTGGGATGATGGGCTTCTAGGTCAAGGAAGATTCAGCATATACCTCCCTCTCCCTTCCACACACCCCCAAAGAGAAACATTATAACGATAATAAAGGAAAGAAATGTTGTAACCCTCTCATAATGGGGAAGAGAACACCAGAGGAGCCAAGAGCTCTTAATGAATAAGAAATTTCAACAAATCCCTGGAAGATGGAAGGCAGATGGGAAAAAGTTGACAAGGGAAGCATCAGTCAATTAGGTGAGTCTGATAGGAGAGGTTACTATATATTATAAAACTTGTATTTTATCTGATTTTTGAAATTGTGTACATGTATTACTTTGTTTAAAAAAATTTTTTTAAACAAAATATTTTAAGAAAGGAAGGACAGGGAAAGCAACTAGAATTTTCTGGGCTTTACAAACATTAATCATTCATTTTCATAATAACCCTACAAAATCACTGTTACTATTTCTGTTTTATATTGATACAACTGAGGCTCAAAGAGACTTTTTAAAAACTTGCCCACATTCATATGCTAGAATCCATGTCTGTCTACCTTAGTCTTTATTACCAAGCCAAGCATTCTCCCTCAATATATTTTTAGTGACATAACCATAAGGAATGAAACATCACTCACCCCAGGAAAGCAACCTTTGTTGGGGCAGCATAAGAGCTGTGGTAAAACTAATTGCAGGGATCCAGTAATGTAACCACTGTTTATCAGAGAGTTTTCTGGAAGAGACAGGTAACTAGGATTCCTGAAAATCATTCATAGCTTCCTTTAACCTTTAAAAAAGGGGCAGTGGGTCATTTGCTTAACATTCTCTATAAGCAATTTGCAAGGACTGAAAATGGTAGCAAGGACTGAAACATACCATTTAAAACTTTTTCCCAGCAATATAGATAGTACTCTTAATGTTGTTTCTCTCTGGGTCTGGCCTTTTCTTGCTTTACAAAGGGAGTATGTACAATAGAACTGCTAAAGGTGCTTATGACTCTGCCAGGGAGAAAGAGAAAGGAACAGTCCCTTGGGTAGAGTTAAGGATATGAAGTTGACGGGAATTTTCTGAGACAAGGTACTTTCAAGCGTGTTTATTACCATTAAACGCTTACTGAATTTCAATAGGAAAAGTGGGGTGAATAATAAGAAAACTGACTCTATGTTAAGCACTGTCCCGGCACTTTTGACGCAGCATCTTATTTAATGTTCATAAAAGGCCGGCACAGTTTGTGATAACATCCCTATATGAGAGACGAGAAAACAGGAATTGATTAAGTTAAGTAATCTGCCTAAAGTCACATGGTCAGTGGTAAAGGTTAAGATTTAAACCCAGGTCTGTCTAACTGCAAAGTCTCTGCCATTTCCTCCACTCCTGCTGCTCATGTACTAACTTCCAGCTGAAGACAGCATATTGAACTAATAGTGTAACAGAAATAAAACAATAATCGGTTAGAGACTGTATGAATGTTTAAAATGAAATCCCACTGGCTTTGAGACAAAGAAGAAATTTAGGAATAAAATGGCAAAGGTTTATAAATTTAGTCAGATGCCAAAAATTATCTTTGCCAGAAAAAAAAATCTGAAAGCCTCTGCTTTATATCATCTGCTATTATAGGTTGTCCACCTCTTTCACATTTCTTCTCCCTTCCAAACTACATAACCCCACTCATATTTCTAATCACTTAAGGGTATTATTTTTGTGAGCTAAGGATCAGAACTACAGAGAATATTTCAGAAATATGCAAAGAGTGTTCAATCAACCACAGTAATTCCTTGACTTAGAGCTGACTCCTTCACTAATACTAGAGTATCTAGTTTACTTTTTTAATGTACATTAGGATGATGGCTTCAAAGACTTTTTTTAGAATCTTCTTCAAGTTCTTTTCCTGGTTGGAATTTAGGGAAAACTGTTCCAATTAGCACACATTCCTAAGTTACTTGCTAAGTTATTTTCCTGTGTGTCTGCATAGATTTGCCTCTATTTCCTTCAACTCTTAACCAGTCAGAATGTTCCTTGATGGTTGTTTCATCACACACTTGGGAATCTTCCTTTCTGTAGTCTTGGTTAAAGCATTTTGATAAATGACATGGAATGAGTATATAGCAACTGCTCCACTGGGATGCTCACAATACCCTATCCCTATCCATTCCACAGTCAATGGAAACCCTAAATCCATGGAAGAGTCAAAGATGTACCTCTGCCATAGACATATTCAACTTTCTTGTACAATTTCTTATGTATTGCATTTCTTTTGCATTACTGTCACCTGTATATATAATTTGTTTTTTCACTCACTTGAGCTAATATCCCCCCACTTTTGGGGAGCCTCTGTTACCATTTTCAGTGCTTCTTAAAGTAGTTTCTGGTAAAAGTAGAGTCTAACAAGTTTAGCTTTGTCCTTCAACAGCATAGCAGGTTCCTTTTTTTGCATTCATTATTCTTTAATCTCTTTTTAGTGTCAGTTTTTTGCTTTTGTCTACCTTTATATGATGCTGAATCCCTTTGGATGATAGTTCCCCTGGCCATTACCAAAAATGTTTTATACTCATTAGGCCATGAATTCATGGAGAATCAATCACAGCAGCTCAAGCTTTTCACCACTGGTTCTCAAACCAGGCTTTTCAGGATCGAAGTCATCTGGCATACCAGTCCAACCCAGGTATTGTTCTCTTTGGTCTCCTCCTTTTTCTGTACACATTCATTTACACATTTTGGGAAGGATACTTGAAACTGGCTCTTAAAATAACTGATATTCTTTTAAAAGGCACATTAATTTTTCAGGCAAAACTCTCACCCTTATTCTGTTCGCTTATTGTACAACAGTGTCTACAACTTAAAACTGGAAGGGTTCACAGTGTCATTCCCTCTCAACAATGACCATACAGATTCTTCATCTTAGCATGGTTTTACTTATGTGGTACAAAACACCACCAACACCCCGATGCCTACAATATCACCCATTTTATAAGATTCACATGAAGGTACCCAAAGGAAGAGCTCCATTTTATTTTTTAAAAAAGAAAACGTCCTTGTTAATAAATGTAATAATCCTTATTCTCTTTCCCTTTGTGTTTGCTACTTTGACAAATTACCATAAGATTATGGTTCTTGTCAAAAGGTTAAAGTAGGTTTTAAACAGAAATAGGTACACTGTGTCTCTCAGTGCTAGGATTACTATTGTCACTGTAACCCATAATAAGTAACTTTTTAGCTCCTTGAGCCTAAAATCATCATAATAAGAACTGACTCTTCTGTGGACTGAATGTTTGTGTTCCCTCAAAATTTATATATTGAAGCCCTAATCCCCAGTATGATAGAAGTAGGAGGCGGACCTTTGGGAGGTAATTAAGTCTCAAGGATAGGGCCCTCATGAATGAGATTAGAGACACAAGAAAGATGATTTCTCTCTTTGCCACAGAGGATACAGCAAGAAGGTGTCTGTCTACAAATGACGAAGAGAGCTCTCACCAGGAACTGAATCAGCAGGCACCTTGATTTTGGACTTCTTAGCCTTCAGAACTGAGAGGAATAAATTCCTGTTGTTTAAGCCTCTCAGTCTATGGTATTTTTTGTTATAGCATCCCAAATTGACTGAGACAATCCCACTAGCCAAAAATTAAAATTTAAATTTAAAAAATTAGCAATGCCCACCTTCATCTTCACTGCTATCAGACTCAGGAAGTTTGATTCTTCTCCTCTTTTTCTTCATGTTTTCAGTTTCTTTTGTCTCATCATCAGATACCTCCACTTGCTTCCTGTTGCCGTTCGGGAATAATTTAAGCATGTTACACAAAATAAAAATATAAGTATTCATGTGCTACTGTCAGCCTTGCTTCATAACTCATGATCTTAACTTCAGAGGGTAGAAAGTAAGAGTCGTAATAGACCCATAAGGATACTCTGCTAACTGACCACAGCTAGGTCACTTCATGGGGTAAACAGAATAAAAACTTTCTCTAGCTCTCTAAAGACCACTGTAAGCTACTTACCAGGTTATTGAAAAATTTTCCAAATTCCTTCTTACTTCCCCTACTGGCCTTTCAATCATTCAACAAGCATTAAATAAGCAGCTACTACCTACATAAAGGCTTTTTGCTAAACGCTCAGATGCAAAGATCAAGAAAACACCGTTGTTCTCAAGAAGCTCTGGCAGGAAAAATGGGTATAAATACCACTAACTATAAAATACAATGTGATAAATTTTACTGGACAAATAACCTAGATCCATCTTGACATTATTTAGCTCCTCTGTCTGGATACTCCACCACACTATTCATTCAATCAACAATAATTTATCAAGGGCCTAGTGTGTGTTATAGACACAAATAAGTACAAGACATAGTTTTTACCTTCAATCTTATTTCTTATGTAACTAAATATCAACTTATTTTTCTACCTTAAGCTAGAAAAATAACAAATTAAACACAAAATAAGTAGAAGGAAATAATAAAGAGCAGAAATCAATGAAATAGAAAATGTTAAAAGGTAAAAGTTATTTTTCAAGAAAAGATTAATAAAATTAGTAAGACTTTTACAAGACTGATAATGAGAAAAGTATACATTACCAATGTTAGGAATGAATGAAGAAATCTATAGTGATACCTACAGATTCCATAGATACTCAAAGAATAAGGCTATATATATTATAAAAATTTTTATGCCAATAAACTCAACAACTCAGATGAAATTCCTTTAAAAACACATTCAAAATTGACCCCAAAAGAATATTTGAATAGCTCTATTTAAAGAAATCAAATTCATAATAAAAATTTTCCCACAAAGTAAACTCCAAGCCTGGGTCCACTGGTGAATTTTATCAAACTTTTAAGAAAGCAACAATACATACCTTACACAAACTCTTTTGGAAAACAGAGGAGGAGGAAAATCCTCTCAACTGATTGTATGAAATGGGCATAACTTTGATACTGAAATCTGACAAAGACATTACCAGCCAAGAAATTAACTGATTATAGCCCCCATAAATATAGATGCAAAGAATTCTTAACAAAACATTAACAAATCAAATCTAGCAATATATAAAAAGGATAATACATCATGACCAAGTGGGGTTTATCTCAAGAATGCAAGGCTGGTTTAACATTTGAAAACCAGTCAGTGTAATCCACCACATTAACAGAAACACCATACTATCGCCTCAATAAATGCAGAAAAAGTATCTGTCAAAATTCAACACCTATTCATAAAACATTTCAGCAAACTAGGAATAGAAAAGACTTCCTGAATCTGGTAAAGGGCATCTACTAAAAACATACAGTTAATGTCCTACTTGGTGGTGAAATCCTGAATGCATTCCTGGCAATAACCATCAACAGCGAGTGTCGTACCCATGGTTAGAAACATTTTAATCCATCCCTATCACATGTTCCTAGGAGGTGAGGCCCACTGGACAGAGAGCTCTGACCCTCTGAAACGTCAGCATTTTGTTGATGTTTTCTAATAGCGTAGCCCCAATCTTGCCACAAAAGTCAAGTATGTCTGGGCCTATCAGTGCTGACAGTGTCCTTTAGAATTTCTTTCAACAGACTAGCTCCTACCAACTATGAGGTAGTGTCTCAAATTCCTGGATTCATTTTTAACAGCTTGTGTGCTTTTTATTTTCTTTTCTAATTACATTTTACCACTTGAAAAATAAACTCATTGATATAAAAAGAAAACAAAGAACTTTTTCTCTTAAATTTCACTGGAAACAGTAACCCCTCATTTGGCAATCTGAGGTGAAAAACAGACACAGAGACATACAATCAGGCACGCTTATGCCATGTCCACAAATATAAAATGAAGTAAAGGAGAAGACAATCAATTTAAATGCAATGGGGCCCAAAAAACTGGCTTTGGGCTCTAAATCATCTGAACTGGCTGATTCAAGTTCTGCTTCACTAGACAAGCTATGGGCTTCTCTCTTCATTTTGGTTATGCAGCTGTAGCCCTAAGGCTATCCCTAGTAGGATTTAGTGCTCAGCTGAAAACTGCCTGCTTGTCAATAAGCCCAAAAAGACCTTCTCACCCCCAGCAGAGACACTCTTCCCCCACAAGTAACAAAATTTTCCTACCTTTTTTTTTCCTTCTGCTGCATCTTAACAGGCTCTGCTTTTTTGCTAGATTTCTTCAGGCCCACAGGGGCTGCCAGCTTTGGTTCAGTGACAGACAGTGGAGGTTGCTCCACTTTTTTTTCTTCTTTCACTGCTTGTTCTGAATCCAAATTGACTTTAATTTTATCTGTAAATAAAGTATAGCAGATGACATATAACCCCATCGTGCAATATTAATCTATCATTCCTTTGACAGTTTACTAAGTGCCAGGTAATGTATTAGGCACAGGGGCTAAAGGGATAAAAAACAGTCCCTGTCCTAACAGAGCTCATGGTCTAGTCAGAGAACATTTCTCCTTTCCAACTACCACTCTAGCTATAACTGTTTTCATTTCTGCCTCCTGCTAATCCCTCATTATATCACAGCCCCCAAGCCAAATGACAGTAAACGTAGCACTTAGAAAAAAATGAATACAACTTTATGAAGTACCAACATTCTCATTTGTTAGATGAGGAAATTAAGAGTCAGAGGGATTAAAAGATGTTTCCCAAGAGTATGCAGCTTATGAATTCTGAAAACAGAAAAGCATCTCCTTTGTATATGCAAAAAAATATGAAACACCTTTTTAAGCAAAGAATGATAACAGACGATGACTTTTTAATTTTGTCACCAATCATTTTTTGAAATATATAAAGCATTAAGGTTTTTGTTACTGAAACAGAATTCATATCATAAAATTTACCCTTTTCAAGTGTACAATTCAGTGGTTTTTAATTGCAACAACACCACCATCCAACTTTAGAACATTTCATCACCCCTAAAAGAAACCCTGTACCCATTAGCCATCACTCTCCAACTCATCCCTTAACAACCACTAATATACTTTCTGTCTCTATAGATTTGCCTATTCTGAACATTTTGTGTAAATGGAATCATATAACATGTGGCCTTCTGTGTTTGGCTTCATTTATTTTGCATAACATTTCAAGGTTCATCCATGTTGTAGCATGTATCAGTATTTCATTCCTTTTCATGGCTGAAAAATATTCCATCATATGGATATATCACATATCATTTAACCATTCATCACATGATAGACCTTCTTGGTTATTATGAATAATGCTGCTATGAACATTTGTACAAGTATTTGTGTGGACACACAGTTTTAATTCACTTGAGTAGATACCTAGGAGTGGAAGTGCTGGGTAAATACGTTTAATTTTTTGAAGCACTGCCACACTGTTTTCAAAGTGAGCACATCATTTTACATTCCCTACAGCAATGTATGAGGGTTCAATTTCTCCACATTCTTGCTAACACTTGTTATTGTCTGGCATCTAGTTTTAAATGGTTCAAATACCAACAATCAACTCTTCATCCAGCTCTCAAGCTTCATTTTCATTGCACTGATCTTGTCATGTGTCAAATACAATAAAAACATTCATAATTTTACTCTAAACATTAAGCCTTGAAAAAAACATCTGTTAAATAAATCAGCTTTGTAAGCCATTCTTTTAATTAAGTGAATATTTCATTCCTTTATTTTATCCAGGTTTCCCCCCTCCCTCTATTACATTCTATCAGAATATCCTGTTACTCTCTGCCTAGCTATTACAATCATTAAGTATTTTATTTTTTCTGTATTTATTTGTCTTTCTATTCCAGTAGAATATAAGGGCCATGAGGACATTTTCTGCATTGTATCACTAGTGCATAATAGTGCCAAGCATGTAGTAGGTGCTCAATAAATATTTGCTAAATAAACACATGAATAAATAAATGTATATTTCTGTTTGACTTTTACAATTTGCAGTCATGTTTTATGTATTTTAGAAATAATAGTAATTTTAAAATTCACTGGCTTTTAAGGTTACAAACATATTAAAAACAACAACAAATAAACATGTGGGCCCCATCAAAGTTGCCAAGAAACCACACAATCTGATTGGGTATAGTGGACTAGCACCAGCCGTGCAGGCCAGTGACATTAGCATGACATATTTTCACAGAAGTAGGGAGCCCTCCTTATGCACTGTGCCTGCAGTAATACAATCATGCCTCCCAATAACCTGAAAGTAGCAAATTTTCAATATTTTTTCAGAACATAAAAATGTTCTCTGATAGCATTTTTTGTGTGTGTGCAAGCCAAATTTTTTTTTTTAATTTTTATTTATTTATTTATGGCTGTGTGGGTCTTCGTTTCTGTGCGAGGGCTTTCTCTAGTTGTGGCAAGTGGGGGCCACTTTTCATCGCAGTGCGCAGGCCTCTCACTATCGCGGCCTCTCTTGTTGCGGAGCACAGGCTCCAGACGCGCAGGCTCAGTAATTGTGGCTCACGGGCCCAGTTGCTCCGTGGCATGTGCGATCTTCCCAGACCAGGGCTCGAACCCGTGTCCCCTG